TCGGCCCATCCTAATGATCGCCTCGTTAGAGGGCTTTCCTAGATTCACAATGTCCTAATTTGTATACATTTACCTTAGTTCCTGGCCTTTCCTTCATTGTACAGTGGGGAAAAAAAGTATTTAGTCAGCCACCAATTGTGCAAGTTCTCCCATTTAAAAGGATGAGAGAGGCCTGTAATTTTCATCATAGGTAAACGTCAACTATGACAGACAAATTGAGGAAACAAAATCCAGAAAATCACATTGTAGGATTTTTAATGAATTTATTTGCAAATTATGGTGGAAAATAAGTATTTGGTCAATAACAAAAGTTTCTCAATACTTTGTTATATACCCTTTGTTGGCAATGACACAGGTCAAACGTTTTCTGTAAGTCTTCACAAGGTTTTCACACAGATCTCCTCTAGAGCAGTGATGTTTTGGGGCTGTCGCTGGGCAACACAGACTTTCAACTCCCTCCAAAGATTTTCTATGGGGTTGAGATCTGGAGACTGGCTAGGCCACTCCAGGACCTTGCAATGCTTCTTAAGAAGCCACTCCTTCGTTGCCCGGGCGTTGTGTTTGGGATCATTGTCATGCTGAAAGACCCAGCCACGTTTCATCTTCAATGCCCTTGCTGTTGGAAGGAGGTTTACACTCAAAATCTCACGATACATGGCCCCATTCATTCTTTCCTTTACACGGATCAGTCGTCCTGGTCCCTTTGCAGAAAAACAGCCCCAAAGCATGATGTTTCCACCCCCATGCTTCACAGTAGGTATGGTGTTCTTTGGATGCAACTCAGCATTCTTTGTCCTCCAAACACGACGAGTTGAGTTTTTACCAAAAAGTTATATTTTGGTTTCATCTGACCATATGACATTCTCCCAATCCTCTTCTGGATCATCCAAATGCACTCTAGCAAACTTCAGACGGGCCTGGACATGTACTGGCTTAAACAGGGGGACACGTCTGGCACTGCAGGATTTGAGTCCCTGGTGGCGTAGTGTGTTACTGATGGTAGGCTTTGTTACTTTGGTCCCAGCTCTCTGCAGGTCATTCACTAGGTCCCCCCATGTGGTTCTGGGATTTTTGCTCACCGTTCTTGTGATCATTTTGACCCCACGGGGTGAGATCTTGCGTGGAGCCCCAGATCGAGGGAGATTATCAGTGGTCTTGTATGTCTTCCATTTCCTAATAATTGCTCCCACAGTTGATTTCTTCAAACCAAGCTGCTTACCTATTGCAGATGCAGTCTTCCCAGCCTGGTGCAGGTCTACAATTTTGTTTCTGGTGTTCTTTGACAGCTCTTTGGTCTTGGCCATAGTGGAGTTCGGAGTGTGACTGTTTGAGGTTGTGGACAGGTGTCTTTTATACTGATAACAAGTTCAAACAGGTGCCATTAATACAGGTAACGAGTGGAGGACAGAGGAGCCTCTTAAAGAAGAAGTTACAGGTCTGTGAGAGCCAGAAATCTTGCTTGTTTGTAGGTGACCAAATACTTATTTTCCACCATAATTTGCAAATAAATTCATTAAAAATCCTACAATGTGATTTTCTGGATTTTGTTTCCTCAATTTGTCTGTCATAGTTGACGTTTACCTATGATGAAAATTACAGGCCTCTCTCATCCTTTTAAATGGGAGAACTTGCACAATTGGTGGCTGACTAAATACTTTTTTTCCCCACTGTATTCTTTTTGAATTTTATTCAAGCAAAATATCCCTATAGACACTCCCCCCTGTTTGCGTTGCTTTCAACGCAAACAAATTTTGAACGGACTCCTATCCCACAGCAAATAACAGCAAAGCACACACGCAAGTTCTTAACGGTGCATTCATTCAACGCACACACACAGACACATGAACTGACCAGTGCTCAAAGTAGTGAGAAAACTCACCCTTATCTGCCGGACTCTGGAGCGAGAGTCAGATCGGCGCCCATGAATGGAACGCTGAGAAAAGACGCAACACGACCTAAATACCTCGTCGCCATTTTGTGGTGTCGAGAAAACTATGCTGAGATGCTGTGAGAACAAGAATTCCGCTGACACTGTCCTTTGATTATAAAGGTTTATTATATCAAAGTATTCCAGCGTCAATTTACAGATATCTGCAGACATCTGGAGAACAACGACCCAAAATAATATGTTGTTCTGTCCTCCTTTGTTTTAACCATGGTATTTATATCCTATGCCCTATGTAACATAATATGGGTGTTTTTCCTACAGACTAATCCCAGGAGGCCACCTAACAGACTTCCTCGGCTTTAGGGTGCCCCTATAGAACTACTCCCCAGATGCTCCCTTTAAGCTGAGTCAACATCCTCTAAAACCATTTGAAACCATTAGCAAAGTCATAAATTCCTCAGATACCACAAAGGCAACAACTGTTGGCGCAATTATTAGAAAATGGAAGAAGTTCAAGATGACGGTCAATCACCCTCGGTCTGGGGCTCCATGCAAGATCTCACCTCGTGGGGCATCAATGATCATGAGGAAGGTGAGGGATCAGCCCAGAACTACACGGCAGGACCTGGTCAATGACCTGAAGAGAGCTGGGACCACAGTCTCAAAGAAAACCATTAGTAACACACTACGCCGTCATGGATTAAAATCCTGCAGCGCACGCAAGGTCCCCCTGCTCAAGCCAGCGCATGTCCAGGCCCGTCTGAAGTTTGCCAATGAACATCTGAATGATTCAGAGGAGAACTGGGTGAAAGTGTTGTGGTCAGATATGTGGTTTCTGTACCAAATATTAAGTTCTGCTTTTCTGATGTATCAAATACTTATGTCATGCAATAAAATGCAAATTAATTACTTAAAAATCATACAATGTGATTTTCTGGATTTCTGTATTAGATTCTGTCTCTCACAGTTGAAGTGTACCTATGATAAAAATGACAGACCTCTACATGCTTTGTAAGTAGGAAAACCTGCAAAATCGGCAGTGTATCAAATACTTTTTCTCCCCACTGTATGTGTTGGGGTGTCAGTGTACAGCGCCTTGCAAAAGTATTCATCCCCCTTGGCGTTTTTCATTTTTTGTTGCATTACAACCTGTAATTTAAATAGATTTTTATTTGGATTTCATGCAATGGACATATACAAAATAGTCCAAATTGGTGAAGTGAAATTAAAAAAATTACTTGTAAAAAAAAAATCTAAAAAATTAATAACGGAAAAGTGGTGCGTGAATATGTATTCACCCCCTTTGTTATGAAGCCCCTAAATAAGATCTGGTGCAACCAATTACCTTCAGAAGTCACATAATTAGTTAAATAAAGTCCACCTGTGTGCAATCTAAGTGTCACATGATCTGTCATATGATCTCAGTATATATACACCTGTTCTGAAAGGCCCCAGAGTCTGCAACACCACTAAGCAAGGGGAACCACCAAGCAAGCGGCACCATGAAGACAAAGGAGCTCTCCAAACAGGTCAAGGACAAAGTTGTGGAGAAGTACAGATCAGAGATGGGTTCTAAAAGAATATCCAAAATTTTGAACATCCCACGGAGCACCAATAAATCCATTATTAAAAAATGGAAAGAATATGGCAACACAACAAACCTGCCAAGAGAGGGCCGTCCACCAAAACTCACGGACCAGGCAAGGAGGGCATTAATCAGAGAGGCAACAAAGATAGCAAAGATAACCCTGAAGGAGCTGCAAAGCTCCACAGCGGAGATTGGAGTATCTGTTCACAGGACCACTTTAAGCCGTACACTCCACAGAGCTGGGCTTTACAGAAGAGTGGCCAGAAAAAAGCCATTGCTTAAAGAAAAAAATAAGCAAACACATTTGGTGTTCGCCAAAAGGCATGTGGGAAACTCCCCAAACATATGGAAGAAGGTACTCTGGTCAGATGAGACTACAATTGAGCTTTTTGGCCATCAAGGAAAACGCTATGTCTGGCGCAAACCCAACTCTTCTCATCACCCCGGGAACACCATTCCCACAGTGAAGCATGGTGGTGGCAGCATCATGCTGTGGGGATGTTTTTCATCAGCAGGGACTGGGAAACTGGTCAGAATTGAAGGAATGATGGATGGCGCTAAATACAGGGACATTCTTGAGGGAAACCTGTTTCAGTCTTCCAGAGATTTGAGACTGGGACGGAGGTTCACCTTCCAGCAGGACAATGACCCTAAGCATACTGCTAAAGCAACACTTGAGTGGTTTAAGGGGAAACATTTAAATGTCTTGGAAAGGCCTAGTCAAAGCCCAGACCTCAATCCAATTTAGAATCTGTGGTATGACTTAAAGATTGCTGTATGCCAGCGGAACCCATCCAACTTGAAGGAGCTGGAGCAGTTTTGCCTAGAAGAATGGGCATAAATCCCAGTGGCTAGATGTGCCAAGTTTATAGAGACATACCCCAAGAGACTTGCAGCCGTAATTGATGCAAAAGGTGGCATAGTTATACACGCTCAAGTTTTCAGTTTTTTTGTCTTATTTCTTGTTTGTTTCACAAAAAAAAATATTTTGCATCTTCAAAGTTGTAGGCATGTTGTGTAAATCAAATGATACAACCCCCCCCCCCCCCCCCAAAAAAAAAAAATGCCAAGGGGGGTGAATACTTCCACAAGCCACTGAAAGTATGTGTGAGTGTGTGGGTAGAGTCCATTATGTGTGCATAGAAGAATTAGTGCAAGAAAGGGTCAATGCAGATAGTCCAGGTAGCCATTTGATTAGCTATTTAGCAGTCTTGTTTAGCAGTATTATGGCTTGGGGGTAGAAGCTGTTCAGGGTCCTGTTGGTTCCAGACTTGGTGTACTGGTACCGCTTGCCATGCGGTATTAGAGAGATCAGTCTAGCGCTTGGGTGTCTGGAGTCTTTGACAATTTTCTGGGCCTTCCTCTGACACCGCCTGGTATCGCCTATGACTTCATTATCTTGTTTTTGATTACTTCTATCCATTGATACTCGAAATACGGCCATGCTCTCTGAAATAAGAAATAAGAAAGTATTTTAACGTAGTTTTGGATTGAATCAGATATGTTTTAGTGTCTCCTTTAGAATCATCCACAGACATCAGCCTCTATCCTGGTGCTGATGTCTGCTCACTGGGCCAGTTCCCCTGTGGCAACCTGTCTGTGTGCCTGCCCCAGCTCTACCACTGCAATGGGGTCCAGGACTGTGCTAACGGAGCTGATGAGGAGAACTGTGGTGAGTCTTGAACCACAGCAGTTACAGGAGGGTAAACAGATGGTTAGTGTGCAGTGTCTGGTCGTTGAAGTGGGAGGGAGGGCAGTGGTGGTGGAAATAAGATAGCATTTAGAATACTAATTTCTGCTTCAATGAATCTGCACTGAGATATTCATCAAGCAATTTGTCACAGTCACACAAAATATGAACAAACATGTTGATAACTTCACACAATTAAGTTCCGCACAAAGATATACAAATGCACAAAAATAAAACATGTCTCTATCGTCTTTCCCTGTACAGTGGACAACAGCGGCTGGCCACATCTTTTTGATGCCTTTATGAAGAAAAATGTTGAAGAGTCGAAGGAATGCAGTGAGTATAAATTATATTTTCAGAAGCAAATGCACTGCTTTACATTAATAATACGTTAACTAAAGCTGAAGTAAAGCAAAAACTTAATCAACCCATTTGAAATATGAAATCATACATTGAGGTCATCCATTCATATCCTTCTGTTACTGTGAATAGTATAAATCATTTGAGCAATTACAAGAAACTTCTTGGAATTCTATCAAACAATAATTACAGGAAATGGTATGTGGGGCATCTGCGTGTGTGCATGTTTCTTCTGTGCTTCTCTCCTGCAGTGTTGGACGTGTTCCCAGAGGTATGTTTCTGTGAGGCCGGGAGAGTAAATTGTAACAAAAAGGGACTACTCAGCGTCCCAGCTGTGTCTTCCAATATAACAGCTCTGTGAGTATACTGGATTCCTACCCTTGGGAAGTCTAACACTAGAACACAGTTATTGGTATTGGGATGGCTAGAGTAGATTGTATTGTAACATCTGGACAAAATGTGTACATCTATGATGGTGTCGTGGCAGTCAAACTAGCAGCTATCTCTACCCTCAGTGAGCTGAACAGCAACCAGATAACAGCTCTCCAACCAGACCAGTTCATCCGCTACAGACACCTTGAGAGACTGTGAGTGTGAACCCCTCTTTTGACCGTTCCTTCTTTCTCTGCACTTGAATCTATTTAAAGGTCCTGTACAGTCAAAAACATGTTTTTCTTCAAATCCAATGATATTGGGATGAAACCAGATCAACAAAGTATGAACAATTATTGTTGCTGGTACATACAGTGAGGGAAAAAAGTATTTGATCTCCTGCTGATTTTGTACGTTTGCCCACTGACAAAGAAATGATCAGTCTATAATTTTAATGGTAGGTTTATTTGCACAGTGAGAGACAGAATAACAACAACAAAATCCAGAAAAACGCATGTCAAAAATTTTATAAATTGATTTGCATTTTAATGAGGGAAATAAGTATTTGACCCCCTCTCAATCAGAAAAATGTCTGGCTCCCAGGTGTCTTTTATACAGGTAACGAGCTGAGATTAGGAGCACACTCTTAAAGGGAGTGCTCCTAATCTCAGCTTGTTACCTGTATAAAAGACACCTGTCCACAGAAGCAATCAATCACATTCCAAACTCTCCACCATGGCCAAGACCAAAGAGCTCTCCAAGGATGTCAGGGACAAGATTGTAGACCTACACAAGGCTGGAATGGGCTACAAGACCATCGCCAAGCAGCTTGGTGAGAAGGTGACAACAGTTGAAGCGATTATTCGCAAATGGAAGAAACACAAAATAATAATAAATAATAATATGCCATTTAGCAGACGCTTTTATCCAAAGCGACTTACAGTCATGCGTGCATACATTTTTTTTTGTGTATGGGTGGTCCCGGGGATCGAACCCACTACCTTGGCGTTACAAGCGCCGTGCTCTACCAGCTGAGCTACAGAGGACCACTAAAATAACTGTCAATCTCCCTCGGCCTGGGGCTCCATGCAAGATCTCACCTTGTGGAGTTGCAATGATCATGAGAACGGTGAGGAATCAGCCCAGAACTACACGGGAGGATCTTGTTAATGATCTCAAGGCAGCTGGGACCATGGTCACCAAGAAAACAATTGGTAACACACTATGCCATGAAGGACTGAAATCCTGCAGCGCCCGCAAGGTCCCCCTGCTCAAGAAAACACATATACATGCCCGTCTGAAGTTTGCCAATGAACATCTGAATGATTCAGAGGAGAACTGGGTGAAAGTGTTGTGGTCAGATGAGACCAAAATCGAGCTCTTTGGCATCAACTCAACTCGCCGTGTTTGGAGGAGGAGGAATGCTGCCTATGACCCCAAGAACACCAACCGTCAAATATGGAGGTGGAAACATTATGCTTTGGGGGTGTTTTTCTGCTAAGGGGACAGGACAACTTCACCGCATCAACAGGGCCATGTACCGTCAAATCTTGGGTGAGAACCTCCTTCCCTCAGCCAGGGCATTGAAAATGGGTCGTGGATGGGTATTCCAGCATGACAATGACCCAAAACACACGGCCAAGGCAACAAGGGAGTGGCTCAAGAAGAAGCACATTAAGGTCCTGGAGTGGCCTAGCCAGTCTCCAAACCTTAATCCCATAGAAAATCTGTGGAGGGAGCTGAAGGTTCGAGGTACCAAACGTCAGCCTCGAAACCTTAATGACTTGGAGAAGATCTGCAAGTACTAAGTCTTGTTTTGCAGAGGGGTCAAATAATTATTTCCCTCAATAAAATGCAAATCAATTTATAACATTTTTGACATGCATTCTTCTGGATTTTTTTGTTGTTATTCTGTCTCTCACTGTTCAAATAAACCTACCATTAAAATTATAGACTGACCATTTCTTTGTCAGTGGGCAAACGCACAAAATCAGCAGGGCATCAAATACTTTTTTCCCTCACTGTAGGTAAAATGTGATTATTGATTATTGGGCAGGTTAGCGTTTTTCGTCATTAATCTTATTAAGTCATCATCTCATCTCTATAGAGCTGCTGCCTATGCTTTCTGAAAAAATAGTTATTCAAAGTAAATAAGGCATACTTTTATGACTACTGAATGCTAACTATCAATCAGTTAGATCATGTATTTTCAGGTAGAGATACCTCACGAAGCAACTGCTTTCAATCCCTCTCAATCTGTAGGCCGTCATTGTAAATAAAAATGTGTTCTTAACTGACTTGCCTAGTTAAATAAAGGTAAAATACAAATACAAATCTTACCTTCTCTCTTCTCTCCATCTTCATGTCTTCCCCACACAGACTGGACAAATAGGCGCGCAATGGATTATAGTCATATAGTTAATTACCACATTTTCTGCACTAAACTATGTAGAATGTTGGCCTGTTGGAAACTAAAACGTCCTACTATAGAGCACAGTTTGGGCTTGATCTGATTAATCTCTAGAGAAACTGTGCATTGAGCTCACAGAAGAAACCAGAACGAAATGGAATTCAAATAATTTGGTAAATTAGTTGTTTAAAAAACGAAAAATGACATTTTGGTTAATCGCTCAGCACTACCTCCTGGACAAGACTCGTGACAATAAATGTTAATTATTGGGGATGTATGCGACAACACATTTAGCCAGTCATTTTAATATACCAACGGTAACGTCTTATTCTCTTACCAAACATAAATAAGTACCGCTTTGTAACCTTCATCGCAGAAGGCGTGTTCGCAGAGGGGCGTGGTTTACATAGCTAGCTAGTCTACTGGTGCCAACATTTGACTGCAGGGTGTAATATAAATATAACTATAGATTTCCCCTATTCGTGTGTGGCAAAGATACTTATAGTTTTTCCCTTTTATCTGTGTCTGGTGTTAGCTAGTTACTGGCTAGCTAGGTCTTCATCCATCCTGCATGGAAAAATGAAGGCTATGACTCTGTTCCGAACTCCCACCCAGTTGTCATGTCAACACACCTGTCAGTGCCTCTGCGAACCGCAACAGATGAGATATGTCAAACCGGACATGTATAATTTATGAAGTGAACCCAGACCTTTCCCTGTCCAGTTTCAACTGAAATTGTCCAACATGAACCGAGCTAGATAGCTAGGTAGCTTGATATAACAGTGCTGGCAGTTTCATTTTGGATATACATTTTACTGCCAGAATTTTGTATATATCGATGCTGTTACAATAACCAAATAACCAAATAATTTGTGAAACCATGATGTGATGTATGACAGGATTAGATGTTGCATGCAATATCAATCTTGTTTGCTTGAGATGATCGCACTGCAACATTGTGTCTAAGTTGCTTGACATAGATAGGTGTTTCAAAGAACTGTCAGTCAAGGTGAGCTCCCCACCCACTCAGCCTATTAGCTTCCCACCCACTCAGCCTGGTCCTTCAGGTTGGTCCTTCAGCTTTACTGATAGTTAAATATGAGAGATAATGTACATTTTCTAAAATTCTGAGCATTTTAAATGGGAACAAATATTGATATTTTACTTGGGAAATAGGATGACTGTTCAGGACCTTTAAATGCATGCAATTCAAGTTGTATGTCTAATGTTAATTAAAAAATCACAAAGAGGGGTTAAAACCCTGGACAATAAAATGCCACACCAAAAAATGTGTTTAAAAATATATATATATATCATTCAGTAAATGTTTCTATTCATCCATACTTATGAAAAGGCAGGATGTAGCCGTACCTTTACCTTCAATAGCCACTTCTGTTGAAGGTTAACATGTTTTGTGGAATGTCCTACATAAATAATTGTCCAGATTGTCCAGTCTCTCTATGTTACACCATAAACAGAGAGGACTGCATCCACCAACAATGTGTGGCCTCGAATGGTACAGTATCTCCATTCAACTGAATGATAAAGCCATTGTTTTTGGAAAGTTGTTAATTAAGAAAGTTGTGTTTGTCACATACTAACATACTCCTCAATATAATTATCCTCGCTCTGACGATCATCATGTAGTTTTGTCTCATTATTGATGAGATCTTATTTTCTTCCTCATTATACCAGGGCTTTCTCATTAAAACCTTTTAATATGTTTCTGTTCCACAGACACTTGGAAGACAACAGGATCAAAAGTATCGCCAAGCAGGCATTCTCAGGACTCTACTCACTAAGAAGACTGTAAGTCCAAATTCATTATGGGCCACAGTCTGACCGGCGGTAACATGTGCACATCCCTTCATCACCACAAATCGTTGCCCTACATCACACTTCATGAAAACGTATTGAAAGTTATGTAGTATGTAGTACTGTAGAATGTGTATGTGGGCCAACAATTTGTGTTGAGCTCCTTGAGAACAAAACATTTAGGGAAATAAAAGAGAACCAGTCAATTACTAATTTACTGACTAATTTACTGGCGCATCCTTGAGAAGTGTAAATACATTCAGATTGAGATACTGTAGTCTTTCTCCGCTATTCAAACCTAAGACATGTGAAGCGCCCAGGTCTAGTAGACATAAATCAGATGATGCCCGGCTGGTCTGTAATTAAAGGAAGACATGAAAGCCCTTCATCCTCCTCCGTCAGGATTCGCACAGAGGACAGGGCATCCTGGAGATTATATACCAGTCACTCTGACAGCTAGCCTTGGATAGTTGACAGCAAAATCAACTACTCCTACTTTCCACTTGTCACAGCTATTTTCACATCCAGCTTAATGTTAGTGGGAAAAGGCTTGTAAGTAAGCATTTCACGGATAAGTCTACACCTGTTGTATTCGGCAATTGACAAATAAAACATGATTTGATTTAGTGTCTCTCCTCTGTATTCCTGAGGGTCCCAGGGTGTTATCGGTGTCAGTGCTCTGTCCTAATACACTCAGATAGAATTTGCATGAGGAACAGATGGATGTGTTACCCTACCCTACCTCATTCCATATTACTTGCAAGCAGTGGAATGTTCAAAGTGAAGCAGTAAGATCTGCAATTACAACTGTCCCTTTGTCAATATTGTTTTATTTACTATATGTTGTCCCATATTAAATATGAATATCTGGCTTTTCATCTTAAATGTACCTCCTCATTCCCTTTGATGTGTGTTTTTCCCTCCCTGTAAAACTGGCCTGCTGTGATAAGATTTCTCAGTCAGAATCGGATTACATCATTGAAGGCTGGCATTTTTGGAGACCTGTGGAACCTGGAGTGGCTGTAAGTGAACTGGTGTGGAGGATGTTTTCAGTTACCTTAAAGACACCTTCATTAGGAAATGCTTCAGTGCCTTTTTTTTTCTTCTTTTTTTTCACCTTTATTTAACCAGGTAAGCCAGTTGAGAACAAGTTCTCATTTACAACTGCGACCTGGCCAAGATAAAGCAAAGCAGTGCGATAAAAACAACAACACAGAGTTACATATGGGGTAAAAAAACATAAAGTCAAAAAATACAACAGATAATATATATACAGTGTGTGCAAATGTAGCAAGTTATGGAGGTAAGGCAATAAATAGGCTATAGTGCAAAATAATTACAATTAGTATTAACACTGGAATGCTAGATGTGCAAGAGATTATGTGCAAATAGAGATACTGGGGTGCAAAAGAGCAAAATAAATAACAATATAGGGATGAGGTAGTTGGGTGGGCTAATTTCAGATGGGCTGTGAGATCCTCAGTGGGATTCATGAGATTGGTAGACAGTATTTATCTAATTGATACAAAAACACCTGTTTATATTGTTGGAAAATGTGCTGCACTGGGCAGTTGTTTTCAGTGACCTTAAAGGGATAGTTAGAGATTTTGGCAATAGGCCCTTTTTCATACTTACCCAGAATCAGATGAACTCATGGATACCATTGTTGTCTCTGCATGCAGTTTGAAGAAAGTTAGAGGTAGTTTCTGGAGTGATTGCTAACTAGCATTAGCGCAATGACTGGAAGTCTATGGGATCAGCTAGCTGATTGCGCTAACGCTAGTTGATCCCATAGATTGCTAGTTAGCAATCGCTCCAGAAACTACCTCCAACTTCCGTCAAACTGCACACAGAGATATATAAATGGTATCTATGAGTTCATCTGACTCTGGGTAGTAGAAAAAAGGTTTGGCTTAATTGCCAAAATCTTGAACTATCCCTTTAAAGCCACCTTCATTCTCTGCCTCAGAGAATGCCTCAGTACCTTGTTTGTGCTGCACTATTTTCCCAAGAAAGCAATGAGCATAAGGTATAATACAGTGTGACATTTATGGTGTAGCTAACAATCCTCATGTGTGATACATGATGGGATGATATCAAGGCCTATGTACTAATGCCCCCTAAGACTGTTCTTTGACAACAATAATTACAGCTCACGTATAGCTCCAGAAGCTCTCTATTCATTTTGTCTAATGTGACGGATGTGAAACTCGTGATAATTACATGATCAAAGTCAACAAACATAGATGTAAAGGGTGGAGTGTGACACATAAATGGATCTATTTCCCTCTGTTCCCTCTGGGTGTAGGATTCTTGATGAAAATAGAATCGCATCTCTGAGACAGAAATCGTTTGAGGGGCTGATATCTTTATTTTTCCTGTAAGTATCATGCCACTGTGCTTATCACTTTAAGATCTCATGAGATATGCATCATCATTTAACCAACATGCTCTTTAAATGTAATTTAATTTGGCTGCAGGTCTTTGTTGAACAATTCCCTAGAATCCATCCCCAAGAAATCTGTCTGCCTGGAAATGCCTAGATTAAACTGGCTGTGAGTAACAACAGAATAACATCTAACCCACTATGATGGATAATATATGTTGTTGTATTTGACAACTCTTAATCATATTTCCTCATAACCATGTTTATTATTTATGACTGTTTGTCATAATCACTCTGCAACAGTATCTGTTTTCAGAAACGTATCATTTTCTCGTCAAAACACTACCTTGAGTATTTACCAACTACCAGATACTGATACTGATATGATGAATTAATGCCATTCTGGTCTGACACATCTTTTTCACAGAGAACTGGAAGGGAACAGGATTTCATCTTTGTGGGTTTCCAGCTTTCAAAACTGCACCACTCTAACAGTACTGTGAGTTTTGTTTAATTAAAAATATATATTTTCCTCAACTCATTTACAAAATTTTGTAATCTTTGTACCAAATCCAATTACATAGAATGTCTTTACTGTCATTAATTTATTTTACAACAATTACATCTTCACTAGAGAGATGAATGTAATGATATGATTTATATTTCAAATTAAATTCTGCCCTACCCTAAGGAGAAATGTCCTACCGTAAAACCCACACTGGTAAGTGGTGCTAATGCTAAAGCTATGTACTTCAGTCTGGAGCCTCTGCACTACTGCAGCTGATAATGATAATTCAGTCTGAGGGAGAGAGACCACTGGAGCCCACACACATTACATTGGCAGTTTCTATCACTAGTGATTGCCTCTAGGGCCATGTGTGATGCTGAGAGTAATCAGTACAGTCAGGGAAGAAAAATTCTGAAATGCGTGGGGTGTATTAAAGCTTAGACACACCGGTAGGATTGCCAAACGTTTGCCTGCCTAAAGTACTTAACACCTCTGAACAGAGTGTCGGCAGTCAATCTGTTTTGTGTTCACACAGCAAAGACCTTGGAAGTCGTCAGCCACTCAGCCTTAAAATAGCATTGCTTGACAATGCATATCTGTGCGTATTGCTTATGGTCTAGATTCGAAGCTATCTGCGCTAATGTTGGTATTTTGTAGAAATCCCTTGTTGATACTAGCCAGATGGCTACAGCTAGATAACTACTTCGCAAGATGATGAATAAACAATTGAATGAACTCTCATAATCCCATACAGCCAGCGCCAGCCCATAGCCAAATGTTTAGCTAGCTAGCTAACGTTAGCATATTCGCTAGCTCGCACAAAATAGCTAGCTGGCTAGCTAAGGACACTGCACTAACTCGGCAGCTAACACAGGCAGCTGTTTCATGGAAACTAGCTAATCCATTGTGGTTTAATTATAATGTCAAGCTACAGTGGTTAGCTAGCTTGGAGGAAGTATTTAGTGTTGTGTGCATTGCGTCTGTGCACTTAGCTAGCTACCATCCCATAGCCTACATTGCATATGAAGTGTGACTAGCTCATCCAATGGATGTATGAAGAAAATGCCCTATTTGTACCACAAAGAAAATTGTTGGCTCCCCAACGTTGGGATTCTTGCCCTCTGATTGGCTCAAAGTCTAGTTGTTGGCCACTGACGAGCATAGAGCTCGCAAGGTTGTAGTCCTAAATCCTGGAAACAAGTTACCTGTGGTTTGTCAAAGATTATGGATATACTGACATCATACATGTCTCTCCGCACTAAAAATGAAAGTCGTTGTCCACAAAGCGGCACAGCGGGCTGTCTAGCTCCCGCCTATCCATTCTTTGAATTGGTGGATACATCTCATTATTGTAATCTTTTTTTCAATATTCGATGAGGGTTGTTGACGTCAAACGCCTGTATTCAATGGAGAGAGATGCTATGCTACTAGCCTTATGCCATGAATATGTATAGCCATCTTGAGACAACTCCAATATAAAGTATTTTTTCTCAAAGTTGGCGGGATGTCACGTGTCTTACAAATATTTTTTATTTGATTTATTTTACCTTTATTTAACTAGGCAAGTCAGTTAAGAACAAATTCTTATTTACAATGACGGCTTACACCGGCCAAACCTGGACGACGCTGGACCAATTGTGCGCCGCCCTATGGGACTCCCAATCACGGCCGGTTGTGATACAGCATGGAATCAAACCAGGGGGTCTGTAGTGACGCCTCAAGCACTGAGATGCAGTGCCTTAGACCACTGCGCCACTCGGGAGCCCATATCAGTACACTCATAACAACTTAAGCGTTATGAAACTTCTTTTTGATCAAATAAATCTCATGTAGCAAATAAGCCATTAATGTTTTTATTTTATTTATTTTATTTATTTTATTTATTTTATTTATTTTATTTATTTTATTTATTTTTTATTTTTTAGGGGGTAGATCAGCTTTAATACTTCAGATAGATTGTAACTTCCACCAATGTAATTGTCTGCATCACTTCCAATCCAACCATATGTTTTTTTTCTCGCAAATATATACAGTGAAGAAAAAAAGTATTTGATCCCCTGCTGATTTTGTACGTTTGCCCACTGACAAAGAAATGATCAGTCTATAATTTTAATGGTAGGTTTATTTGAACAGTGAGAGACAGAATAACAACAAAAAAATCCAGAAAAACGCATGTAAAAAATGTTATAAATTGATTTGCATTTTAATGAGGGAAATAAGTATTTGATCCCATCTCAATCAGAAAGATTTCTGGCTCCCATGTGTCTTTTATACAGGTAACGAGCTGAGATTAGGAGCACACTCTTAAAGGGAGTGCTCCTAATCTCAGTTTGTTACCTGTATAAAATACACCTGTCCACAGAAGCAATCAATCAATCAGATTCCAAACTCTCCACCATGGCCAAGACCAAAGAGCTCTCCAAGGATGTCAGGGACAAGATTGTAGACCTACACAAGGCTGGAATGGGCTACAAGACCATCGCCAAGCAGCTTGGTGAGAAGGTGACAACAGTTGGTGCGATTATTCGCAAATGGAAGAAACACAAAATAACTGTCAATCTCCCTCGGCCTGGGGCTCCATGCAAGATCTCACCTCGTGGAGTTGCAATGATCATGAGAACAGTGAGGAATCAGCCCAGAACTACATGGGAGGATCTTGTCAATGATCTCAAGGCAGCTGGGACCATAGTCACCAAGAAAACAATTGGTAACACACTACGCCGTGAAGGACTGAAATGCTGCAGCGCCCGCAAGGTCCCCCTGCTCAAGAAAGCACATATACAGGGCCGTCTGAAGTTTGCCAATGAACATCTGAATGATTCAGAGGAGAACTGGGTGAAAGTGTTGTGGTCAGATGAGACCAAAATCGAGCTCTTTGGCATCAACTCAACTCGCCGTGTTTGGAGGAGGAGGAATGCTGCCTATGACCCCAAGAACACCATCCCCACCGTCAAACATGGAGGTGGAAACATTATGCTTTGGGGGTGTTCTCCACCAAGTACTAAGTCATGTTTTGCAGAGGGGTCAAATACTTATTTCCCTCATTAAATTGCAAATCAATTTATAACATTTTTGACATGCGTTTTTCTGGATTTTTGTTGTTGTTATTCTGTCTCTCACTGTTAAAAAAAACCTACCATTAAAATTATAGACTGATCATGTCTTTGTCAGTGGGCAAACGTGCAAAATCAGCAGGGGATCAAATACTTTTTTCCCTCACTGTAAATAACATTCTATTGGTAGCAAGAATTTTGTATAATAATTTAAAGTTTTGAATCCGGCGTCGTTTTGCGTATCAATTCATAAACACTATGCCATGGAATCGGTACGTCAAAAATCTCTTCCCAACTATTTTGCAATCTATATGGGACGGCTGTCAATCCTTTGGTCCTTAAATGAAACTGGTATACTTTTTTATTTATCACAATTTTCTTTAACCAATTATATTCTTTAATGCAAGGCCGGCAGACAAGTTCCTTACTTTTTCCCCCTTCCACTTTCCTTTTCCATTTTTGTGGTAATGCTGCAATTATTTGGTTGTAATTTTGTGTAGAGCAGACATTTCCATATGTTTTTGTTAGCTGCATGTGCGACATAACTCCACCAGTCCTACCGATAATATAATTTACGAAGATTATACCTTTTGTAAACATTTTGTCAAAAGAAATAGGTTTTTTATCAATTAGTATATTTGAGTTTAACCACAATATTTGTTGCATTATTTGTTCTGTCGTTTCTGAAGGATTAAATTGAAATTGCAACCAACTTTCTATGGCTTGTTTTAGAAATAGTGATATTTGGGAGATTATTTCCTTTTCAAATAATTTAAAGTGAGAGGTTGTAATCTGAATAAAGGGAAAAATGCCATTCTTGAACATTGGGTGAGACAATCTTACTAATTTGCTAGAGAACCAGTTCGGATTTAAGTATAACTTTTGTATGACTGAAGCTTTTAGTGATAGGTCTAATGCTTTAATATTTAATAATTTCTGTCCTCCGAATTCATATTCATTATATAAATAGGCCCGTTTAATTTTGTCTGGCTTGCCGTTCCAAATAAAATGGAATATTTTTTTCTCATATAATTTAAAAAACTGTTTGCTAGGCGTAGGCAAGACCATAAGCAAATAGGTAAATGGGGATAATACTAAAGAGTTAATCAGGGTGATTTTTCCACAAATTGACAGGTATTTACCTTTTCATGGTAGCAAGATCTTATCTATTTTTGCTAACTTTCTATTAAAATGTATTGGAGTGAGATCATTTATTTCATTTGGGATATGTATTCTGAGTATATCCACATCACCATCAGACCATTTTATTGGTAAACTACATGGTAATGTAAAAATTGTATTTTTTAGTGATCCAATACGTAATATAGTACATTTATCATAATTTGGTTGTAATCCAGAGAGGTTAGAAAATGTATCTAGATCCTCTATGAGGCTGTGTTGGGATTCAAGTTGTGGATTTAAAAGAAAACATGAATCATCAGCGTACAATGACACCTTTGTTTTTAAGCCCTGGATTTCTAATCCCTTGATATTATTGTTGGATCTGATTTTAATAGCTAACATCTCGATGGCAATAATAAATAGATATGCCGATAGTGGACAACCTTGTTTCACTCCTCTTGACAGTTTAAAACTTTCTGATAAATAGCCATTATTTACTATTTTACACCTAGGGTTACTATACATGATTTTAACCCAATTTATAAGAGATTGTCCACAATTGAAATGCTCCAGGCTTTTATATATAAACCCCAGTCGTACTTTATCAAATGCCTTTTCGAAGTCTGCTAATATAGTAGGCCTGGTTTCCCAGATTTTTTATAGTGTTCTATTGTTTCCAGTACTTGCCTTATATTATCTCCAATGTATCTTCCATGTAAAAAACCTGTCTGATTAGAATGAATAATGTCCGACAATACCTTTTTAATTCTATGCGCTATACATTTTGCTAGAATTTTTGCAGTGTAACCGGCCTCCAATTTTTTTAATGGACTGGATCTTTATATTTTCCACTTGTATCCTGTTTCAGTAATAATGAAATCAGACCTTCTTCTTGAGTGTCTGATAATCTACCATTTACATAGGAGTGGTTAAAACATGCTAATAACTGTCCTCTGAGTATATCAAAAAAGGTTTGGTATACCTCGACTGGTATGCCATCCAACCCTGGAGTTTTCCCAGACTTAAAGTCTTTAATTGCATCCAGAAGTTCCTCCTTTGTAATTTCACCTTCACATGAGTCTTTCTGTATGGCTGTTAATTTTACATTATCAATAGAAAAAAATCTCTACAATTTGCTTCAGTTAGAGGAGATGGAGGCGATTGAAACGAAAACATATGCTTAATGTTATTAATGTTTTTGTTGACCATACAAAACGTCCTTGTTTGGTGGGCCAAACAAAGAAAGATCTCCACCTGCTGGAGCGAGACAGATTTTCCGCTGAGTTGGGTCTCTCTCTTCCTCTTCCTCTCTGGGTTCGTTCAGCCATCATTATGGGGGGAAAAAATGAATGGCTAAAGAATAGGGTTTTGGAATAAACGCCGAAAACAAGGTCTGAGGTTAACACAGTCTGAGGTTAACACGTTTTGTTCTATGAGATAATAGCAGTCAGTTAACATTACCTTTATAATTTATGAAGCTTTTATGTGCTTTTATAAATGATAAAAATTCTTCCAAATTCACAAAAAGTGATGTAAGCTAATGAAGATTATCTCATAGAACAAAACATTTAAGATCTCCTGAACCTGTGTTTACCACATACCTTATTTTCAGCTTTTATCTAAAAACCCTACAAAAACTCCATTCATTTTCTCCCTAGGTGTCACGAATTCCGCCGAGTCTGCTCCTCCTCCTTGTTCGGGCAGGCTTCGGCGTTCGTCGTCCCCGGAGTACTAGCTACTACCGCTTGATGTTCTCTATGTTTGTTTGGTTTTGTCTTGTTGGTGCACCTGTTTCGTCTTATGTATTGATTATGTCACCTATAAGTTTCCTTTGGTTTTGTTTGCAGTTGTGTGTTGTTGTCCGCCTGTCCGTTGGTGTACATTGTATTTTGTTGTTAGTGTATTTACGCACTGTTTGCGTAATCGCTCGCCTCCTGTGTTCGAGGCCCGTTATTTTTGCATTGTCGTGGTGAACTAGTAAAGTCGTTTTGACTGAGCTTCTGTGTCCTGCGCCTGACTCCTACACCGCATCCACATCAGCTTTGTGACACTAGGCTTTGTTTAATGAACCATGGCGGAGTTAGTGCCTACAAAAAGACGCCTTTATTATTTCTCTCCATTGCGATTCTACAAGTAGAATCGGGTTTGCCACTACCGGGTCGGCACGCAGCAGGTACCGCTTTTGTTCTAGCAAGAGAAGGAACAGCCTCCCACTGTGATAGGTACCTATCGTGAGTCTATCGGCAGTGAGATTCTTGGTGTGTTTCATGCTTTAGCTCTCTCAATTGAAGGTGATGGTGGAGTCAATGTGGGGTCGAGAATCTGGAAATACTCTGGTAGACTCTTTGGGTGTTTCTCAATATGCATACTATCATGCTCCACACTCTCATGCTCCGAGTGTATTCTCCGAGGACGTTCTCTTGAGTACGTTCTTGTGAGGACCAGGTTGTGGAGAACGCATAAAACATTACATTTGAGAAGCACTCGCACTCCCGCCACTATATTACCTCACGCTGCACCTCCCCATTCACTGAACCTTCTTCCAACCAGGACAATGGCAACAGAGACAAAACAAGATATACACAAAACAAATGTTTTACTTTATAACTATCAGCTAGCTATATGTGAATTGTATTAATGTAGCTAACCAGATAGTTGAACAGGCAAAAATGACCTAAAACTAATGGGTAGATGTCAATTATTTTTGGGTAGCTAGCTCTCTGACAATTCTTGATGGCTTTCTGGCTAGCTAACTGTAGTAGCTAGCCAGTTAGCCCTATTGACTTACTATGGGTTTGCGATTTACGCAAACTTCAGTGGGCATTGTAGGCAGGTAAACATGCCAAAATTAACACAGCATATACAGTGCATACGGAAAGTATTCAGACCCCTTCACGTTTTCCAAATGTTATTATGTTACCGCCTTATTCTAAAATGGATTAAATAAAACATTTTCCTCATCAATCTACACACAATACCCCATAATGACAAAGTGAAAACAGGTTTTTTGTATTAAAAATAAAAAAACAGATACCTTATTTACATAAGTATTCAGACCCTTTGCTATGAGACTCGAAATTGAGCTCAGGTGCATCCAGTTTCCATTGATTATCCTTGAGATGTTTCTACAACTTGATTGGAGTCCACCTGTGGTAAATTCAATTGATTGGACATGATTTGGAAAGGCACACACCTGTCTATATAAGGTCCCACAGTGGACAGTGCATGTCAGAGCAAAAACCAAGCCATGTGGTCGAAGGAATTGTCCGTAGAGCTCCAAGACAGGATTGTGTCGAGGTACAGATCTGGGGAAGGGTACCAAAACATTTCTGCTGCATTGAAGACCCCCAAGAACACAGTGGCTTCCATCATTCTTAAATTGAAGAAGTTTGGAACCACCAAGACTCTTTCTAGAGCTGGCCGCCCGGCCAAACTGAGCAATCAGGGGAGAAGGGCCTTGGTCAGGGAGGTGACCAAGAACCCTATGGTCACTGACAGAGCTCCAGAGTTCCTCTGTGGAGATCGGAGAACCTTCCAGAAGGACAACCATCTCTGCAGCACTCCACCAATCAAACCTTTATGGTAGAGTGGCCAGACGGAAGCCACTCCTCACATGACAGCCTGCTTGGAGTTTGCCAAAGGCACCTAAAGGACTCTCAGACCATGAGAATCAAGATGCTCTGGTCTGATGAAACCAAGATTGAACACTCTGGCCTGAATGCCAAGCGTCACGTCTGGAGGAAATCAGCACCGCTCATCACCTGGCCAATACCATCCCTACGGTGAAGCATGGTGGTGGCAGCATCATGTTGTTGTGGGGATGTTTTTCAGCGGCAGGGACTGTGAGACTAGTCAGGATCGAGGGAAAGATGAACGGAGCAAAGTACCGAGAGATCCTTGATGAAAACCTGCTCCAGAGCACTCAGGACCTCAGACTGGGGAAAAGGTTCACCTTCCAACAGGACAATGACCCTAAGCACACAGCCAAGACAACGCAGGGGTGGCTTCGGGACAAATCTCTGAATGTCCTTGAGTGGCCCAGCCAGAGCCCATCTTGAACCCGAATGAACATCTCTGGAGAGACCTGAAAATAGTTGTGCAGCGACGCTCCCCATCCAACATGACAGAGCTTGAGAGGATCTGCAGAGAAGAATGGAAGGAACTCCCCAAATACAGGTGTTCCAAGCTTGTAGTGTCATACCGAAGAAGACTCAAGGCCGTAATTGCTGCCAAAGGTGCTTCAGCAAAGTACTGAGTAAAGGGTCAGAATACTTATGTAAATGTGATATTTCAGTTTTATTGTAATTTTTTTGCATTTGCAAACATTTCAAAAAATATGTTTTTGCTTCGTCATTATGGGGTATTGTGTGTAGATGTAATCAATTTTAGAATAAGGCTGTAACGTAACAAAATGTGGAAAAAGTGAAGGGGTCTGAAGACATTTCGAATGCACTGTATTTATTAACATATCAAGTAAAAAATATTGTTGTCAGGCAACATATAAGATGTGAATAGGCAACATTTATTTCCGAAGTCGGAGTGCATTTTCTCTCGCTTCAGCTCAAATAATGTCCGGCAGTGAAAAAAAAATATTTGCATAATTTTTTAAGTGGTTGCATCATATTTCTGTGCATACTTTCCGTTAAGCTTGCATCCATGCATGCTTAAAAATATGTACACACGGAGTACGCATTCGAGAAGTGCCCATGCTCCAATTTGCATGCTCGGAGCACAGTAGTATGCATTTTGAGAAACACCCTTTGACTTATCTAAACCTGAGTGCTAAATATAGCATGTATCCTGTGATGTCAGCTTAATGCCTCGATCACACCGACAGTGTCATTGCATTTCTGTACACCAGAAGTACATTAATTTCCAATGGAACACTGCCTTTGCCTTGCAGCATTGCATTGCAGAGGAAGTTTACAGTGCATCCTGTGTGGTGCATTCATTGGATTTATCGAACATATGCATCAAATTATATGCGTAGAAGGCTTGATGGAAATGGTAGCAGAAGGTGAATGTTGAACTTCTGCTGCGCACATATCCAGATGATGCTGCATACCATTTTGCGCAAAAACGCTGTAGGTCTGATCGAGGTGTAAGCATTTGCTGGCCGAGAGTACTTAGCACCTCTGAATGGAATTTGCAGAGTCCGCACCGATTTTCCATCAGGTATCAGGTGAAAAATGTGGGTGGCCCCTAAAACACAGTGGCTGAACCAGCAGATGAATGCTTGACCACTTGATCCACGTTCGATGTGCGATTATTGAGGCAGGGCTGGATTTCCTCTGGTGAGGGATGAGTAAAATCAATAAATCAAATAGAGTTTGATAGGTATTAGTGGGAGAAAATAATTTGTTTTGCTTTTATATAAATAGTACCTAATTTCTTTAGGATATACCTACTATCAAATTAAACTCTAAATAAAATCTAACAAACAGTGTATGTAAATTACTATTCAAGTCATGTAACTGGTCTAGTAGGGACTGTTCTTGAATAACAATTACTACTTATAGGGACATTTATTTTGCAGGGCTCTTCGAAAGAACAGAATACAAACCATTGAGGAGGGAATCTTTTTTGGAATGCCAAACCTGATAGACCTGTGAGTTAACTTTACTTAACACAACATGATATGGGTCAAATAATGCTGTAGAATGTATTTCATTGTTGAAATTATTATTTTGTCATTCCAGGGACGTATCTGTAAACAAAATTGAGGAGTTCTCCTCAACTATGTTTAGAAATCTTCAAAACCTAAAACAGTTGTGAGTATATCCAATTTCTATTTGAATCCTATCCCTAATATACACTGAGTATACCAAACATTAGGAACACCTTCCAAATTTTGAGTTGCAACCCCTGCTTTTGCCCTCCGAACAGCCTCAATTTGTCGGTGCATGGACTCTACAAGGTGTCGAAAGCGTTCCACAGCGATGCTGGCCCATGTTGACTCCAATGCTTCCCACAGTTGTGTCAAGTGCCTTGCTCAAGGGCACATCAGCAGGTTTTTCACCTAGTAATCTCAGGGATTTGAACCAGCAACATTTCAGTTACTGGCCCAAAGCGCTTAACCACTAGGCTACCTGCCAAGCCTTCCAAAGGCACTTCAATCTTTTGTCTTTCCCATTCACTCTCTTAATGGCACACATAATCCATGTCTCTATTGTCTCAAGGCTTAGAAATCCTTCTTTAACCTGTCTCCTCCCCTTCATCTACACTGATTGAAGTAGATTTAACAAGTGACATCAATAAGGGATCATAGCTTTCATCTGGATTCACCTGGTCAGTTTATGTCATAGAAAGAGCAGTGTTCTTAATGTTTTGTATACTCAGTGTATATACTATTTTGAAAGATGTTCTTGTTACTTACAATGGATTTACTGAATGCGTTTGATCCACTTTGTACGATCAAGTAGGAGAAATACTAACTTTATATTGTTGAGTTGCAGTTTATTAACTGCGCTGCTCAAAGAGTCTTCCATCAACCTGGCCTTGAGGCCATGTTGACCACAGAGACAGGGGCGATAAATCAAAGTGATATAACCTGCCCTGTATTGATGTTTCCCCCTCTTCTCTCAGGAACATCTCAAATAACCCTCTAACTCATATCTATGATGATCAGTTTGACATGTTTGTCAATTTGCAGTCTCTGTAAGTAATAGTTTTTATTTTATACAGTACTTATGTGACATGGTCTACTAGCTTTAGGGAATTGGAGAAAGAGTAATGTTTTTGCTCCCCTCAGGAGTATAGAGGAGGTTGAGATACCAAACATCAGTATTCAGATGTTTCGCTCTCTTAGCAACTTGTCCCATATGTGAGTATATATTCTGTCTTCATTTATTATTCTTATGTCATCAACATTTTATTTCATACTGTATAAACGGTAAGGCACTAAGCCTGTAGAAGCTGCTAATTGGGATTTAATTCATTTAATAGTTTGTTAGAAGCTTACTGTACAGGGTAAAAACACGGGATAAATATAGTATGCGTAAATGTCTAAACATTCGTTGCCAATTACCTACCAACAAGTAATGAATTCATGGCTTCTCATGCATGCATAATACAGGACTGTTTATAAGTGTTTGATAAGCTACTTACAAACAGTGGACCAACGACTAATTAGCAGCTTATACAGGCTTAATTAGGCCATTATACAATAAATGGACTCCTAAAATAAGCAGCTGTGTTGCTTGGTGTACAGTAAGGTGTTGTTACTACAAATAATGTTTAATCAACAATAATGTTTAGTCAGCACAGGTCAGGTCCACACTGCATATAAAGCACCAAAGCCTAGTTAGAGGGCAGTTAAGCACTCTGTATAACTGTATCCATTTGTTAGCTAATCTCTCTTCTCTGACAAAGCACATTATAATACCCTAAAAAAATGGTTAACTGTTAACTTCAGAAGTAAGTTTGTAAATTCATTCAAAGGTGATTAATTGTGATATTTTTAAATATTTTTTCTTGACCCAGTTATTTTAAGAAATTTGAATACTGTGGCTACTCTCCTAATGTGCGAAGTTGCAAGCCAAACACTGACGGGATTTCAACATTTGAGAATCTTCTTGCGAACATCATCCTTCGTGTTTTTGTGTGGGTGGTGGCCTTCATCATCTGCTTTGGCAACGTCTTTGTGATCTGCTTGAGGTCTTGCATTGCATCTGAAAACCACCACCACACCATGGCCATCATATCACTGTGCTGTGAGTAGACTACCTCAACACAATGAGGGCAGCAATCACTTCTCATTACCTTGTACTTAGCTAACTCATTATTTATTGAGATTCGTAAAACTCCTCTCATAACAAACTATACATACTAACTAAGATCCCTGAAATCCATCCTATCTGTTAGGTGCTGACTGCCTGATGGGAGTCTACCTGTTCTTCATCGGTGCGTTTGACATCAAATACTGTGGAGAGTACAACAGACATGCCCAGCTGTGGATGGAGAGCCTGCAGTGCCAGTTGATTGGCTGTCTGGCCATGCTGTCCACTGAGGTGTCAGTCATGCTTCTGACCTACATGACTCTGGAGAAGTACCTGTGCATTGTGTTCCCCTTCCACAACTACAGAGCCGGACGTAAACAGACGCTCTGCTACCTCATCTTCATCTGGGTCCTGGGTTTCATTATTGCCGTCATTCCCTTATGGGACAAGCAGACATTTGGGAATTACTACGGCAGGAATGGAGTATGTTTTCCACTTCACTCAGACGAGATGGAGAAACCAGGGGCCCGATGCTACTCCACTGGAATATTTCTGGGTAAGAGGAACATCCCTCTGAGCACGCTGAAAATACATATTTTTGGTTGAAAATATGTCCTTTTGGTTGAAAATGTATTGTGCTCACTGGGATAGGAATCAGCCCTGATGGTGGTGAATCAACAAAATAATGAGGATAATATGAGATGAGGATGGAATTCCACAGGCCTTGGATTGTGTTTCATGTATTTCCCTGGGTGGACATGAGACTGCCATGAAAAAAAGGGTTTATCATCTCATCATCATCATCTTAGATCTCAGCTAGACTTTTCTCTCACAGCGATAAGGACTTCTTATATACCAATTAGTTCTACTCAATTCTAATCCGTTCCAATCAGTTCAAATCTCCATGAGAAAAGAAAGATCACGAATTTCAGCAAGTTTTGCAATACCTTTACACTGATTATGGTTTTACCTACATAATTTGGTTTTATTCAATGCATATGTCAGGACGGGTACATTGTAAAGTGTAATGAAAGCATGTTTTTCACATTTTGTCCTTCAGGGTTGAATCTCTTTGCATTCATCATGATCGTCTTCTCCTACACCAGCATGTTTTACTCTGTACAGAAAACAGCTAAGACAGCAAGACAGTCTGTCTACAACAAGGAGGTCTCTATAGCCAAGAGGTTTTTCTTCATCGTTTTCACAGATGCCATGTGTTGGACACCTATATTCATCCTAAAGATCCTCTCTCTTTTACGAGTGGAAATAGCAGGTAAACCAGATACATGTGGTTACATGATTACTACTATTAAATTGCAATCATTATGTTTAATCTTTGTGAACTCCTCGTCCTCTTCCTCCGGCTCCTCCTCCACCCCATCATCCTCCTCTTTCTCCCTGTCCTCCAGGAACAATCGTTCTATGGGTGGTGATCTTCATCCTGCCCATCAATAGTGCTTTAAACCCCATCCTGTACACCATCACTGCCAGCTCCTTCCAGGAGAAACTCAAACTCTGCCTGAAGGCCAAGTGCAAACAGGCTGGGCTCAGGGAAACGTCCCAAAAAGTATCTGAAGTCTACCAGAACCCCAGTGCTCCCCCTTAATGAAAAGGACCCTCTCAGTCAGGGAGCTGGCCAACCGTCTTCCTGGAGAGCTACTGCCTGGGTATGCCGGCTTTTGTTCCAGCCCTTCTGGAACACACCTGATTCAAAACATCAAGATCTGGCTGAGCATCTGATTAGTAGGATCAGTGTGTTTGAGCAGGGCTTGAGCAAAGCCTGCATACTGAGTAGCTCTCCAGGAGGAGGGTTGGCTACCCATGTTCTTATTTATTTGATAGGGGTGAGATGTATTCTTGTAATCATTCTTTACCAGCAAGAGAACACATTTTCTGGGAACCAATGTATTAACAAATGTTTTGTGTGAATACGTAAAGTACAGTTATTGTAAACACAGATGTGCAGAATCACAAATTATTTTGCCTACCCAATTGATATTGCACAAATTGTATTGTATAAATGTATAATAAAAAATGTTACAAAAAATATTGAAAACATATATGGAATTGAAAAGGTGTAAATGAGTGACGTGTTTTGGGTTTTAGGGTGTGACATTTGGTTAGGTTTGGTATATTTGACATTCAGATGCAATGTTACTACTTGCTTCTCAAGCGCAACTGTGACAAGAAGGTAAACAAGAAAACAATTGAAAACGAATTATGATGGTGAAAAAGGGCCGGGGGATTTTGGGAGAGAAACTACACATTTCACTAAGCCAGAACTCAAAATAGCATTCATTCGTTTTTCAATATTTAAATGTTTATTGATTTTCTACTCTGTTTTACAGTAAGAGCAGTATAATACAAATAGGTAGTAAATGAAGAGTAAATAGTAATAGATGAGACAAATAAGATAAACACATTGTTGTGGGCTAAAATGCAAGTTATTTACAACTGCTTCATTGAGTACAATACAATGGCCTGTTATGTTACAAAAAGTATTAACTCAAAACTACCCTGTAGTTTACAGAAATGTAATACTTGTGTGTTTATGGCTATTACTTCCCCACAATTGTTAAAATTATGTTAAACGCATTAGTTATTCAATGGAAGTAATCCCATTTAGGTGCATGGGCTACTAGTGTATGTATGTAAAGCATATGGCATAAGAAAACACTGAAAATGTTTACATGCATTCAGTCATTGCACTTCCACCCATTGCATAACTCAGATTAAGATTAGATCTAATACAAAATCATTCCTGTACATAATGCCCAACAGAAAAATACGGCCATGGTTCGATTCTGTACAGACAGAGGTAGTCACATTCCTATGACTCATACAAAGACTCATTCATACAGACATAAATAAAACACTGATTACTGAGACACAATAAAATACAATAATACTGTAGACAAACACCGTCATTTAGTAATCTACACAAACGCTGCCTAAAGCTCAGGTTGTCTGTCCACTTTGGAGCATGTCATGATCCTTGCCCCTTCTCATTGTGATCGCAAATCCTGACACAAGCAATTACTGTTGAAAAATCTTCAACTGACATCATAGTGTGACTTATGCAAATGTTTGAGCTCCATGCTTATATCTTATAGTTTGGCCCTTGGTGAACAGATATTTGCCTATTTCACAAATGGCTCTGTTCCTATTTCTAATCTTCTGAAGATCTGAGGAAGAAGAATGATCCCTAGAGCTCAGCAGCTAAGCAATAGCTAAATTAAAGTGAACGGAGGATAACCAGTTAGACTTTTAAAGATAGGAGTAAAAAGAAGAGACATAACAGGAAGTCCAGAGTAGAGTCCCCTCTTATGACAAACACTTGAGTAATACAAACAGTTAATTTGAATGTACAGCTGAAGCAAGGCCTGAAAATACACAGCGTTTTAAGACACACTACCACCCACATTATCAACACTGGGGCTAGCTATTGAAATAGCAAGGTAAGGTGCCATTCTCAAGTTTGAGACACATCTAATGAAAATAGTAAAATATATTAGCTCTGTGAATTTATCATGAAGAAATTACATAGCATACAGTACAAACATGGATGGTTTCTATAGAGCTCTCCTGAATTATTGTGTAAAGCAGGTTGCACCTAAAAACATGACATGGCATTTTGGTATCATCACCTTAAGTCTTGCTCCTTTCACAGCAGCATTAACCCTTTCAGTCCCGAGACACCAGCAAAAATCGGCTTTTCATTTATCTGACTTTCATTTATCTGCATGTCCAGCCCTTATATTTAGCTTCACAATGCAGTGTTTTACCATTTTATTTTCAGGGCAACAATTTGACATAAACAGTTGCAAAAACCGGATGAAAATGAATTGATATGAATGCTGTAAGTACAGAAATTGTTTGCTCAGTGGGAAATGAATATCCAACTAGTCAGTGACAACTTTGTGGAGTTTGGAGTTTGTGACAGCAACTATGTGTGCTTATTACAGTATTATAGATGCTATGTCCTGGGATTTCCTATGATCTTCTATGTAGAAGAACCCCTTACCTTCTAACCTCCTGTGTAGCTTGTGAGTGTCATAGAGCAAAACATGTTACATGTGTGTATTTGTGAGAATCCCAGTTTTCATACAGTGAGGGAAAAAAGTATTTGATCCCCTGCTGATTTTGTACGTTTGCCCACTGACAAAGAAATGATCAGTCTATAATTTTAATGGTAGGTTTATTTGAACAGTGAGAGACAGAATAACAACAAAAAAATCCAGAAGAACGCATGTCAAAAATGTTATAAATTGATTTGCATTTTAATGAGGGAAATAAGTATTTGACCCCTCTGCAAAACATGACTTAGTACTTGGTGGCAAAACCCTTGTTGGCAATCACAGAGGTCAGACGTTTCTTGTAGTTGGCCACCAGGTTTGCACACATCTCAGGAGGGATTTTGTCCCACTCCTCTTTGCAGATCTTCTCCAAGTCATTAAGGTTTCGAGGCTGACGTTTGGCAACTCGAACCTTCAGCTCCCTCCACAGATTTTCTATGGGATTAAGGTCTGGAGACTGGCTAGGCCACTCCAGGACCTTAATGTGCTTCTTCTTGAGCCACTCCTTTGTTGCCTTGGCCGTGTGTTTTGGGTCATTGTCATGCTGGAATACCCATCCACAACCCATTTTCAATGCCCTGGCTGAGGGAAGGATGTTCTCACCCAAGATTTGACGGTACATGGCCCCGTCCATCGTCCCTTTGATGCGGTGAAGTTCTCCTGTCCCCTTAGCAGAAAAACACCCCCAAAGCATAATGTTTCTACCTCCATGTTTGACGGTGGAGATGGTGTTCTTGGGATCATAGGCAGCATTCCTCCTCCTCCAAACATGGCGAGTTGAGTTGATGCCAAAGAGCTCAATTTTGGTCTCATCTGACCACAACACTTTCACCCAGTTCTCCTCTGAATCATTCAGATGTTCATTGGCAAACTTCAGACGGGCATGTATACTTGCTTTCTTGAGCAGGCGGACCTTGCAGGCGCTGCAGGATTTCAGTCCTTCACGGCGTAGTGTGTTACCAATTGTTTTCTTGGTGACTATGGTCCCAGCTGCCTTGAGATCATTGACAAGATCCTCCCGTGCAGTTCTGGGCTGATTCCTCACCATTCTCATGATCATTGCAACTCCATGAGGTGAGATCTTGCATGGAGCCCCAGGCCGAGGGAGATTGACAGTTATTTTGTTCTTTCTTCCATTTGCGAATAATCGCACCAACTGTTGTCACCTTCTCACCAAGCTGCTTGGTGATGGTCTTGTAGCCCATTCCAGCCTTGTGTAGGTCTACAATCTTGTCCCTGACATCCTTGGAGAGCTCTTTGGTCTTGGCCATGGTGGAGAGTTTGGAATCTGATTGATTGATTGCTTCTGTGGACAGGTGTATTTTATACAGGTAACAAACTGAGATTAGGAGCACTCCCTTTAAGAGTGTGCTGCTAATCTCAGCTCGTTACCTGTATAAAAGAAATCTTTCTGATTGAGAGGGGGTCAAATACTTATTTCCCTCATTAAAATGCAAATCAATTTATAACATTTTTGACATGCGTTTTTCTGGATTTTGATGTTGTTATTCTGTCTCTCACTGTTCAAATAAACCTACCATTAAAATTATAGACTGATCATTTCTTTGTCAGTGGGCAAACGTACAAAATCAGCAGGGGATCAAATACTTTTTTCCCTCACTGTAGATAGCTTTTAATAGTGTAGCTCAAACCATTCGGACTCTCTCTTATTTTGTAAAAAGACCGGGCCCCGGGCCCTTTCGGGATCCGCCCGTCTCACAGACACCGCTCTAGCTCAGCCCCCGTTAATCACACAGATGCAGAAGAAATAGATGAATCCAATAGTACAACCCAGAAGTCTGTAGCTCAAACACATGATGTATAAAAGGGGTTAGAAGTCCAAATCGCGCAGGTGTCGTGGTGGGACTCATAAAGCTATCAAGACAGTTATCATAATCTAACCTCATCTTTCAAAAGAATGGCTTTTGCATAAAGAAACTGTCTATTTTCTTTCATTCAAAGTACTTTTTAATGTTTTAGGGTCAGTTAATGCATAGTCTGGTTTAGATTTGTAAATATTGCTGCCATTTCCTCAGTGGCATCAGTGCAATCTGAGTGAGAGTCCACATCCTGACAGTCCCCTGTTTATGACACTGGAGAGTTTGTCAGGCAGATGTAATGTAATGCTACAGATAGGCACCCTTAATTTGAGTCATTGTGAGCTGTAGGCAGCACGTCTCAGGTGGACCGGCGGTCCGTCTCAAAGTTCAAAGCTTTGTCTCGGTTCCCTTCGCTGTCAGCACAGGGAAGGAGCCCCGTATCCTAGCAACCTCCACCGCACAGAGATGGCCAAACACTTTGTTGTACCACTCAGGTGATCGTCCCCTGAAAAATTACAACAGAAGGTCAAATAAGAAATTCGTACCAATTACACAATTCAATAGCAGGGGAGGTACCCCCACTCCTCAGAAGGATATTTAAATAGAATTAGAGTTTCTTTCACACAACATGTTTATGTTGCATTATTATTTTAATGGTAATTATGCCAATATTTAAAAGTAAAAAAAATTATTGCATGAGCTCTCGGTCAACATGTTGTTCATAGGCATTTAATCAATAAGCCATTTAAATCATAATTGAATTACATGAGTCCAGTCCAATGGAAATTAATGCGTAGATGAGAAACTGGATTCCTACCTGAGGTCTGCTCTGCAGTAATGCGTCAGCCTGGACCGGCCCATCCCTGAGGGCTCAATCAGGACCCGTGAGGTAAGCAGCACTGCCCGTAGCCCTGCCTCCAGGTGCACATTGTCATGGTCCACAGAGGAGGACACTAGCAGACACAGGCCCTGAGGAAGGTCACTACACCACCGCCTAAGCAGGAGAAAAATACAGCAAGGGTCATTACTGTCATCTTTGATTTAAAGGTCCAATGCAGACGTTTTCATCTCAATATCAAATCATTTCTGGTTTACAATTAAGTACATTACAGTGATTGTTTTCAGTTAAAAATTTTTTTTTTTTTTTTACAAAAATAGATTCTTAGCAAAGGGCAATTTCTCAAGCAAGAATTTGGCTAGGACTCTCTGGGAGTGGTCTGAGTGGGGAAGGGAAAACAAAACATTTGCTGTTATTGGCAGAGAGGTTTGGAACTCTCTTTAACTAATTTACAGCATAGTGATATCACCATGGAAGGACAAAACTCCATCCCACCAAAACAGGCAGAAATGTAAGGCAGTCTTTTCAAACAGCTCTTACACTAAAAGGGCATTATCATAATTTTCACATTTTCTCTGTATTATTTCAACCATTTTTGACTGCACTGGGCCTTTAACACCGCACCTTACTGAACCGACAACATGTTGACTCCCCCTGAGAAAAGTGCAGACATACGTATGATCGGCTTCTGGCCACTCTGCCCTTCTACCAATGTCTCCAAATGAGGCCTTGGATAGAGTCCCAGGCAAGACAGACAATTATTGAAGAGCTAATCTCGTCCTCCATGTGTACCTCAGCACTACGAAGTCCCTGCGGGGATGAGGTGCCATGCTGTCTGTCACATAGTGATACACCTCTGTGTTGTTCTCTAGAGCCTCGATTACACGGCTGTGGAGCAGGTCTTCATCCCACAGGTGGCGCTCACGCAGAACTCTGTGCAACACTGTCTGGGGCGGGGCCTCGATCTCAGTGGTCACTTTCCAAAGACGGATGGGATGACCGTCCCCTACCTGAAGAGAACAAATGGATTGTGAGATTATGGTCCAGGACTGGACAGTATACTATAGCTTTAACAAGCTAGCTAACATGCCATCACTCTTCAAAATGGACAGGATTTACTTCATTCCAACAGCCAAAGAAGCTATGCCAAATGGTAAATTAAATTATCCATGGAGGCTTACGATAAAAAAGGGAATTAAACATTTTCCAATCATACGATGATTGAAGGCCATACTGTTGTGACAATGTAGGGCAAAATCTAAGCAAAATGTATCTTCAATATAACAACATTGACAAACATGGACCTGTGATTGAATGACCTGCAGGCAACACTAATATTAGTATGCACTAGTGCAGGGGGAGGCAACTAGATCCAGTCGCGGGCTGATTGTTGCTCGGGGGGGTAGAAGATAATTATAATAATTTGTACACTGCAAATTGATCACAACTAAGCCCAAAAAGAGACTGTATTTGAAAATAACAATAATTTCATACCTTGATTATATTGAGACATGATCACATATGTCTCTTTTTTTTGTGGGAATACTTGGGAACTGACTTCCTAAAGAAAAAATGTTTGACCAAAAACTAAAATCAGAACTAAATCATTACTAAAAACTTTGGGGGCCAAAAAAATAACTTGCAGGCCGGTTATGGCCCACGGGCCGCCTACTGCCGACCTCTCCACTAGTGTATTATTGAGCAGTACATTCTGGTTTTGTATGACAACAGACATTATAGTATCAGTATGCAGCAGTGTCACTGAGCAGTACCTTCTTGTATGTCAGCTCTGTGTTTTCTGGGCCCTGGGCGCTGTGCCATCCTTTGCTCTTCTCTGTGGACTCCCGCAGTAGAGCCTGGATATTATCCTCCAGGTAGGCTCTGTAATCCACAGGCTCGCCCTTCATGTTCAGGCCCAAGCCGTGGAGAGGGAGTGGCTGGGCATCTGCTGCGACATAGGAGTTCCGCGACTGCAACATCATCTCATGAGGGATCTGTCACACCAAATAAGAGGCCAACTGGGTTATTTTTTGAATTAATAAAAATATATACATATATAGCAGTTGTCATGTACAGTACATATAGTGCAGCCTACTAAATTCCTCTGTGAAAGTACATCAAGTTCATATCCGACATGGCATTTACTCTATACACTGTAAAATGTGAAAGCATGTCTATTTCATTTATTCTTAAATAAATGCTTTCAACAAATAAAACACTCCTCAAATGGCTCACATTTTTTGTACAATACATAGTCAATGCATGTGGGTGGTTTTTCATTAGAGATTGATTGTTCTGAGGGATCATCCTATTCAGAAAATAGATTGTTTACTTCAAGGACTGTGCATGTATTCTGTATAATACCTGGAATAATTTCTTGCACTCCACAATCATGTGGCTGAGTCCTTGAGTGGCAGCCATGTTCTCACTCAGGTCCTTGTGGTCGGGTTTTCCCCCTGCCCCCCTTCGGTGGATTAATCTTCCACAAAGATGGAACATAGTCAACACACATCACAATCATCCACTCAGCTTTGACTTCAACCACAGTAAAATGTTGTTAATATGTAGCATTTTGATGAGGAAATAGTCAAGAGGAAATGTAATGGTCCAACACTGTCAGTCCTCAGTAGTTTTGTTTGGGCTTCATTTTGACATGATACATCCATGAGGATGTTAATATGCAGCATTTTGGTACCTTTCTTTAGCCCAGAAGAAAACCACTGGTCCAACACTGTGTGAACTTTTGCTAAGACCATTGGTTTAAGCCATTGGTCTTAAATGGCTAGCTGCTAGCTTTTCTCATAGGTATTCCTGGCACAATTATCAAATCAAATCAAATCAAATTGTATTTGCAACATGCACCGAATACAACAGGTGTAGACATTACTGTGAAATGCTTACTTACAGCCCTTAACCAACAATGCATTTATGTTTTATAAAAAAAAGTAAAATAAAACAACAACAACATAAAAGTGTTGAGAAACAAAGAGCAGAAGTAAAATAAAATAACAGTATGGAGGCTATATAGGGGGGGGGGGGGGGGGGGGGGGGGGGGGTACCGGTGCAGAGTCAATGACACGATGCTGGGGATGGCCATCTGAGCAGATAATTAAATCTGGTAACTAAATAATGAATCAACCTATCAGATACCTTAAACCAGGGGTGTCAAACTCATTTTAGCTCAGGGGCCACATGGAGGAAAATCTATTCCCAAGTGGGCCGGACCGGAAAAATCATGGTATATATAACTTAAAAACAACAACTTCAGATTGTTTTCTTTGTTTTAATACGATCAACATACAACATAAAGCTGGAGCCTGAGGACAGTGTGTCCAAAATAGTACAAGCACAACATCACTATTAATCATAAAACACGTCAAGTTTATTTGAAAATTCTAAAGAAAAAGAACACACAAACACACAATGCCTCAGTGATTAACAGAACTGTTTCACAGATCACAGAACTATATCAGGGTGTCATTTCTCAGGCAGAAATGTAGATAAAAATAATGAAATCCTGTTCCCCAAACAAGTGCAAGAACCACAGAGTCAAGAATAGGTTAAATATACAAATAAAATAAAATCAATTAAAAACAATAGCACATCAACATAAAAACATATAAACATAAAGCTGGAGCCTGAGGACAGTGTCCAAAAGCACAACATCACTATTAATCATAAAACACCTCAAGTTATTTGAATGTTCTGAGGACAAAGAACACACAAACACACAATGCCTCAGTGATTAACAGAACTGTTTCACAGATCACAGAACTATATCAGGGTGTCATTTCTCAGGCAGAAATGTAGATAAAAATAATGAAATCCTGTTCCCCAAACAAGTGCAAGAACCACAGAGTCAAGAATAGGTTAAATATACAAATAAAATAAAATCAATTAAAAACAATAGCACATCAACATAAAAACATATAAACATAAAGCTGGAGCCTGAGGACAGTGTCCAAAAGCACAACATCACTATTAATCATAAAACACCTCAAGTTATTTGAATGTTCTGAGGACAAAGAACACACAAACACACAATGCCTCAGTGATTAACAGAACTGTTTCACAGATCACAGAACTATATCAGGGTGTCATTTCTCAGGCAGAAATGTAGATAAAAATAATGAAATCCTGTTCCCCAAACAAGTGCAAGAACCACAGAGTCAAGAATAGGTTAAATATACAAATAAAATCAATTAAAAACAATAGCACATCAACATAAAAACATAAACATAAATCTGAAAGCGTTGCTCAAACTCCCGTAACAGTCCCGTTATTTTATCTTTGAACCGCTTCATGTCTGCCACATGTTGGGTCGCGCACACATTTTTCAGACAGGGGAAGTGAGCTGCATCACCACCGGCAAGTTGCGTCTCCCACAATGACAGCTTCAACTTGAAAGAACGTATGCTGTCATAATACTGCGTGACAACTTTGTTGCGCCCTTGCAGCTGTTTGTTCAAGTTATTCAGGTGCTCTGTAACATCCACCATAAATGCAAGGTCCTGCATCCATTCTGCGGAATGAAATTCTAACACTGGTTTGCCCTTTTCTTCCATGAACTGTTCAATTTCTTCTCGTAAATCAAAGAAACGCCTCAGCACAGCACCTCGGCTTAACCATCTTACCTCAGTGTGGTATGGCAGGCCATAGATGTGGTCTTTCTCTCTGAGAAGGCTGTCAAACTGACGGTGATTCAGGCTTCTGGATCGGATGAAATTAACAGTTTGGATGACCACCTTCATGACGTTATCCATCTTTAATGACTTGCAACACAAAGCCTCCTGGTGCAAAATACAGTGAAAAGTCAAAAAATCACATCCTCCATTTGCAGATTGCACTTTCTCTCTGAACTTTGTCACAACGCCTGCTTTTTTCCCGATCATTGAGGGCGCACCATCTGTAGCCAGGCTGAAAGCGCGGGACCAGTCCACTCCGACCCTGTCCAGCGCGCCGACGAGTGCGGTAAAAATATCAGCTGCTGTCGTTGTATCTGTCATCGGCACCAACTCCACAAACTCCTCGGTGACGGTCAATGTGTCATCAACTCCGCGGATGAAAATGGCCAGTTGTGCAACATCTGTAATGTCCGTGCTTTCATCAATTGCAACCGAAAACGCAATAAATGACTTTACTTTTTGCTTCAACTGGCTGTCCAAATCCACTGAAAGATCGGAAATCCTGTCTGCAACTGTGTTTCTTGTCAGGCTGATATTTGCAAAAGCCTGCCGCTTTTCAGGGCACACAATCTCCGCTGCCTTCATCATGCATGTTTTTACAAATTCACCCTCACTAAATGGTTTTGAAGCCACTGCGATTTCATTAGCAATGAGGTAGCTAGCTTTCACTGCAGCGTCACTGATGTCTCGGCTGTGAGTAAACACAGACTGCTGTTTCTTCAGACCCGCCAACAGTTCATTCACCTTCTCTCATCTCCGCTGTCCTTGAAAGTTGTCATATTTGTCGGCATGAAGACTCACATAGTGGCGACGAAGGTTATATTCTTTCAGCACTGCAACATGCTCTGAACACACCAAACATACAGCTTTTCCATTCAATTCCGTGAATAAATAGGATGACCATTTTTCTTGGAACACTCTGCACTCTGCGTCCACTTTTCTCTTTTTTGACAGAGACATATTGGGGCAATGAGGGTGCCAAAGCACATAATGTTAAAAGTAGAAGCCGTAATAAATATCGCGGGCAAAACAAAGTAGCTCATTGGCTGCACGTGCTTGACCTACTTGCTCTGCCCCGGTATAAACAGTTTGCTTGCTTAACACAATTGCTATTGCGCCATCCAGTGGGCGCAATTGGAACAGCAGTTTATTTTATTGAAAAATTGCAGCGCATTTTTATACTTTACAAAAAAAAACAAAAAAAAAACAACATTATTATTTTTTATTTTTATTTTTTATCATCTCGCGGGCCGGATTAAACCCGTTTGCGGGCCTGATCCGGCCCGCGGGCCGTACGTTTGATACCCCTGCCTTAAACGGTAGAGCCATCATCCGATTGCATTTGTTAAATGTCAATTTGGCCGCCAGAGGGAGATTGTTAAACCATCTAACTGCTTGGTTTAGTTTGTACCAATGGTCTTGCCAACATTTTTGAATAGCGTTGTCAAAGTTAACGCGTTAATAACGTGTGACATTTTTAATGGCATAAATTTTTTTGACGCCATTAATGAGAAGGGTGCAACTGCGGCCTGCAATTCGGGGCGTTTCTGTATGTATGCATTCCTGCATCTGCAGGAACCCCTCTTTATACTTTTATTGGGGAATTTTTTAACTAGGACTCCGGTACACAAACGGGAGGTGGGGGCGCTCCAGTACAGTAGGTGTCGGTAATGCACCATAACGTTGGATGCCAACAGCCGATAAACCCCACAGAAGAAGAGGTAGCTAGCACACCGGTAGACAGTGTCCTTCGCTCCTGCCTGTCTGGCACTGTTTTCCTGCAGTTCTGTTAACAACGGCGAGGACAGGTGTTCGGCAGGCGGGAGTGAAAGACACTATGTGTTAGCTAGCTAATTTAGTAGGAGGTCTCCGGTACAAAGCAGGTGGGGGCGACACTGTATGCTAGCTATCTAGCTAGCAAGAAGGACTCCGGTACACAGGAGTCGGAGGCAACAGCGGTAGCTAGCTAGCTAGTACACCGGTAGACAGTGTCCTTCGTCCCCGAAAAACTCAGATAATACTTTTATTTCCCTTTTGACCCACATTTTAATCGCACAGACAATCAGAGGAAATCAAAAGTGTCACACAGGCATGAAGATGTTGCGCTTGAGGGGGGTGTTCATGCAGGAACCAATGGGATGCTCGGGGGGGAGGGTGTTATTGTAGATGCAGGAATGCCCACATGCTGGAACCCCCGGAGTTGCGGGCCACAGTCACACACTATTGCCATTAATCGCATATCAATTTCTTCACAGCACTGACCCTTTTAAACACAGCACATTACCTCGGTAACG